GAAGACAATATATGAAAATCTGCATCAGTTCTGTGTGAGTGAGCTTTTAGATGGTAATCATGTTGAAAGTACCAATGGTTGACATTTGTGTGGTGGACGATGAGTTCTGAAGATTTTAGGTATATTATGTGATCCAATAGTTAATCTTTTATGAATTATCTCTATTGAGTCCATTATGAGTTTATATTTCTTGATTGTTTATGTCCACTTAACTTTTACAACATGAGCACCGCCGCCCCAAAAGAAAAAGGCGATTGGAAAACCGAAATATTTCTGAGGGAGAACTGGTCATTTGTTGAGTGAACTTGATACATTTCCTACTAAAATCTAAATTCTCTTGCTTTCCTTTCTTGTCAACCTTGTGATCAATCCCGTTAAGTTTTTGGACCAATTTGAGTAGTGTTCTGCAGAAAATTTTCGTGTATTGACAGATTAAAATGGTATCAGCACAACACTTGGTGAAAAGGTTATAGGAGTTATGTGATGTGACTTGATGTAGTGTCTAATGGGTACCAGGTTTAATTTATAGTGTTGGTTTTGTTTGTGAGGCTTAGCCCCTGTTTGGTTTTGAAAAAAAAAAAAAAAGATTTTCAATAGATTTTAATAAAAGTTGGTGGAATTTTTGGTTGAAAACATGGCTAAAATTAATTATTGACTTTGACTTAGATTTTAATCCAATTTTTTTAGCTGAATCAAACGTGCTATTATGTGAAGAAAGCAGCCTTCCTCGTCAGTTGGCATGATTGTTGGGGAATTTACACAAATAGCTCTATAATGGGGCTGAATATGATTTTTGGGTCTTTTTTTATTTTTTCTAATGACTCCCTATTCATAAGAAATCCGTTCCAAAGGACATTCCATTCACTCAGTCCTTGTTCTGTTAAACCTAAATATTTAGAATTCAAAAGTATTGAAAAAATGTAGTGATAATAATATTTTCACATAAACAAGAATTGGAACCATTCAGTGATTTTATTTTGTAACCTCTTTGGACAATTCATAGTTTAGTAAATTGAAAGGGAAAATATAAACACTAGCGTTTTCTTTCGATAGGATTGATGTGCTAAATCGAATAAAAATATTGATAAACCTTAATAGTGATTTTTTAGAGATTGTGTGACTAAAAAAAGAAGAAAAACTTCTGGGTTTACGTATAATATTATTTTATTAAAAAATGTTTGATTGAAAAGAAGAAAGAGAAACATGCATTAAAGTTACGATAGAGCACAACAGGGGCTTTATTTTGTGGAAAGAAGCCTAGTGCAAAGAATGTTGGGGGTAAGGAGGAGAATAGAGAAATATATGGTTAGGGTCTCTAAATGAATCCTATGTCAGATGTTTGGTAAAATGGGCTAAATAATACTAAATTATATTAAGATTTTAGTCTTGAAACGTACACAATTTGGACATGGCCCTAAATTAGTGCTTTATGTCATGTTGAGTTGAGTGAATTGGATAAGAATGGAGTATATTGAGAACATTCCCGTCGAGTAGTGATATCAAAGATGCCCTCGAAGCTTTATTTTATACTCATCCGGGATTGGAAGAAACTCTATTCTCGAACCAATTTTATTTCCAAGAAAAGCTAGCAAAGGCAATGAGAGCTCAAGGTTGAAACCAAACAAATATTCAGTGCATTTTGAGCATTTGACTCTTTCAAATGGGCAATTCCATACAAGTTGAAGCAATGAAAATCATGTGAAAAGAGACAAAGGGACCACTTCTGATTGAACCACTACTATAATTTTCCGATGAGGAAGGGAAGGTGAGGACTGTGGAGACTGGAGAATTAGTGAAAGGTTTTTTTTTCTTATTTTATTATGTGAGAAAAATCAGAAATTTATAGATAAAATATTTTTAATAATATAACAATAGATTAGGTATTAAAAAAAAAGGGAATGTGGGGGAGAGAAGATAAGGTGATAATGCTTTAGTAAAAAACCCACCCAACAACAAAATCTATCTCTTCTGGATTCTTTTATCCAAACGAACCTCTTCTTGCAGAGAACATGTCTCTTTATTCATGTCTTCTTGATAAATAATGCAAAATAAAATATTATTTTTTATAAATTCTAATGCTTGATATTGTTGATACCAATTTGGAAACTGCTTTGAAATCAGGGTGCTGAGAAGTTTCTTGTGCTTTGGATTGGTGAAAGCACTAAAGAAGGCAGCCAAGCCAGCCAACCACCCCTACCAACCCCCCCACCCCCACCCCCACCGAAAAAGAAAAAGAAAGAAAAAATAGAAAAACATATGATTGATTTCTTTGCATTTTTCTCTTGCTATCCTTATCTCCCATCTCCTCTGCAAAAATACAACTGTCTGTCATCTTGATGACTTAGAAAAAATAAAAATAATGCTATCAGCTGAGGGTGGGTGAGAGGAAGAAATTAATCCATACATATGATTTCAAACTATTTGGAATAGTTTGGCCTAATCATTGTATTTATTTCAAAATTCAAAAAATATAATGAATATTGCAATCCATGCAAGGATATTAGATGATGATTTTTTTTTAGTGTTTTTCCAAATCTTGTTCATAGCTGTGCACAGTGTTGTAATTATATACCAAACATTTCTTAATATTTTTTTAATACCACTGAGATTTTATGCAATCATCGCGACCTCTTACTCCTTATAAGGTCTGCTAGCTGCTTGCCCTGATTTGTCAAGCATAGGTTGTGCACTTTAGTGCCATCCATTTTCTGTACTAGTAACATTTGATGTGAGTTATTACGTGTACAATGGTTAATAGATTTTAACTTTGATGGCCACAGTTGTGTGTTCATAGAGTAATGATGTAGGGAGATGCAACAGGTTCATTGAAAAGATGCAATCAACATCTTTTACCACTTTAAAGGGTTGGGAATCACCCCAAGCATAGTCTCCTTACTTCGAAAATTCTTCATAGATGGCTCAGCCTTCTTAGGGGACTTAAATATGAGACTTCTAGATTTGATACCAATCAGGGCCGATCATGTTAAAATGTTCTTCAAAACAGGTGAAGGAATAAATCACGTATTGGATAACTATCGAAGTATTAACCAACGTATAAGGACTGGATGACTCTTAACTAGGTTGACCTTTAAGATGAAGTCTTAATATGGTATTAGAGCCACATTATCATTTGACGAGCAATTTGACCTGATTAACTTAGTCCATGCTTGACATACATTCTTTCAAAATACATTATTTCAAAACTCATTTTCAAACATACATTTTTCAATAAAATAATATTTTTCATCAAATCAATAACTTTTTCTTACTTTTTAACCACATATTTCACATCATATAATTATTTAAAATACATTCTTTTCT